GGCATTTTCTGTGCCCCATCCAAAAATGACAGCTGGATCGACAAGGGTAGGACTGCCTAGCTCAGTCAGTTGGGCTTCTTTTCAAATGGAAAAGCGATGAATCAGGCCCCATATTTAAGGCTTCCAGGGAAATGGCCATAAAATGTGCTGTAAAAAGAAAGATAAATAATATTCCTAAAATTTAATTAATTTTCTCTCTTTCATTTTAGCCTGGTTTAATGTGATGCTACACGTTTGATGTGAACAATCTAGACATTGTTCCATTAGTGTATTTCACTTTTACATCAAGTCTCACAAGTCACTGGCTTTATTTAGGGTAATGCACTTGCATTTGACATATTTATATCATTCTCATGTATTATTAAAAACAATGTTATGTTTAGGTATTGAGGATCAATAAGACCTCCATAATGTTTATACCATCATATCTTTTATGGCAAGCTTAGAGTGTTTCAGGTTTGTTTTTATAGTGTTTTCTTTTTAAGGCAACTTTATAGCCTTTACTCTGTCTTGGGTAAAACACAGGTTAACAAAAATTTCTTGACTGTGAAAGTCTTAATCGGGCCACACAGACACATGGCTGCGATTTTGAGTAACTATTTAGAGTGGAAGTTTCCAACATTCATGTGGTATTCCCCTAATGTATACTAATTGTCACATGGAAATGTTAATGTAAACTCTTTCATCTTTTCTTGTTATTCCTCTCTCCTTTTCTTCTTCCTTTCCCCCTTTTTTGCCTCTCTCCCTCCTTTCTCTTCTCTTTTCCTCTTTCCTTCCTTCTTCTCCTTTTTTTTTTTTTTTTTTTTTTTTTTTTTTTTTTTTTTTTTTTTTTTTTGGGAGGTAACAATTACTTCGAGGAATGTTTCCTATCTTTGACTGCTTTTCCTTGCTTGCAATTACATATTTATGACTGCAGACAATAGGTGTCAGTTCTTCTGTATTTATTGTCTCAAGTGTAGAATTGTAATCAATATAACACACAACAATTCAGGGAGTATAATTAGAACACCACTTTTTGTGTGGCCCATCGTTCCTTTAAAACTTAGTTAAAGTTTTTCTGCTATCCCAGGATGGAAAGATAAATGTCTCATGATTTTTCTGACTTTCAGTTTTATAACTCATGTTTTAAAAATTTTTATATTCTAGTATAGGTTTACCACTTTATTTGTAAGTCAGAGAGAGAGATCCCACTGAACCCTTTGTCAGTAGCAACAATTTCATATGATTCTATCTCAAGTAAAACAAAATCAACAAGACAGAACATCGTAGTTCATTTACAGTTAAATCTTCTTCCTAGTCCCACTAAGAGCTCACTCGAGGTACAAGGCCTATAGTTGAGAAAAGAGCAAGACTGAGTTTTGTTTTCCTCCTTCTTTCCCTCCAGGTCACTAATTATAATTTCTGATCTCTCCAGGGGAAAGGGTAGAGAAGGTAATTAAGGGGTATAGAAATTCTTACTGGACCAGTACTTCCCTAAGATGAATCAGGGCCTGATAGCCATTTACGACTTTTCTGTGAGTTTTTAGGTAGAATTCCTTTCCTGAGATACTCATCTACATCTTTGCCCTGAGTGGATGCATTTCACTCTCTCTGTTTCTAGGAGTCGAGACAGACACGTTCTGCTTTTGTCTGCAGAGACACCCAGAGGCTTGCAGGAGACAGGCCCTAACATGACTCTATGCTAGCTCTCAGTTTTGAGCAACCCAAGCTGGCTCATGGGAAATACACATATTCTTTGTTCTAGCAAACTCTGAGAAGGCAGGTTGATCCTGGTACAGTTAATGCTGCCTTGACTTGCCTGTCAACAGCTGATTTCTGCTATCAGGCCGGAGTTAGGCACTAGTTAACTGAGTGTCCCAGCTCTTGAGATGCCCATAATCTACAGATATGCAGCAAATAGAAAGACATGCACACAGAGCCATACAATAAAAATGCATCAGTCCAGTGTTTCTCTCTCTCTCTTCTTTTTATTTATATTTTTTCCCTAAAGGGCTGCATGCTATCCAGAAAAAGAGAGAAATGGTTATGATGCAATCCATTCTCTTCCATCTCTTTCAGGATTTAGGGCGTGCATGCACTTGTGCCCAGAGTATTTCTCAAAATGCTGGGTCTGTGACTCAAATCATGCTGTTGGCCATGTGGGATCCAGTTGCTTTAAGCACTAGGTATGTCCAAGTTATCCAACTTTAATCTGTTTAAGAACCATATGGGTCACTTATTTAAAATGCAGGGTCTATAGCCCACCACAACGAGTCTGGTTGTGAAAGTCTGGGGTATAGTCCCAGTTCCTCAGGGACTCAGATATGGGAAATCTGTAAGCTATAGAAAGATATTGCACTAGGCAGAAAAACCATTAAGACAGCAGCCATATCTGTCTGTTCTCCACTATTACCCAAGCCCTAGCACAGAGCCTAGGACACAGTAAGTCCTTAGTCAATGCATCCGAATAAATGAATGAATGGGGGCTGGCATTCTAGTAAATGAAAAAGATTTTTTTTTTAAAAGTGGTGACAGAGGTACTGTGAGCAAGCAATTTCCTTTCTGGTATGTCAGTTCAGGGAATTATACACCTGTCTCGTGTGGTTCTGGCTAAGAGGCTGCTCTAGGGAGGAAAAGGACAGTCCTGGAGTCGTGGCGAGAATGGAAAGGGATTGAGATTTATTATTTGAGGATGTTAGATGGGTCAGCTTTGAAGCTCCTCCAGAAGGAGAGCTCTCAGGAAGGGAAGAGCCATCTGTTCTACTCTGTCATTGACAAGCAGAGTGACCTTGAACAAGTCACTTATCTTTTCTTCACAAATGGAGGTTTGTGGCTCAATGATCTTTAAGATTCTTGCTAGCCTTGGGGCCAAAGGACAGCACAGTGGTAATACAACTGAACCCTCATGGGAAAGGTCCTGGATTCACATCTGGGACTTCCCCCTGCAGTCCAGGTGTGCTGTTTGTGCTTGTGACCTAGGTTGGCTGAGACTAGGGTGGACCATGGTGTGGAGATCCTGATAGGGCTGCCTGTCTCTCTCTCTCTGTTGCTCTCTCATGCAAGAAACAAATAAGCACAACCTGAAAAAAAATTTTTAAAGTCTCCTCTTAGTTAATTTTATGGTTCTATAAAATCTACTGACCAGGGTTGGCAGCTGCTATGGCGGGTAAGGTGCTGGACTCCCACATGGACAACCGCGGTTTGGATCCCAGGCATGGAGGCCTGCTTTCCTACTTTCCCTCTCTCTCTCTGTCTCTCTCTCTGGTCAAATTAGACAAACAATAAAAATGATAATAAATGAAATAAAAATAATTCTTTAAAAAAAAACCTTGTTGACCAAGAAGAGAAAGTGCAGGGGAAGAGAGGAAAGAAGGAAAGGATGAAGGTCTCAGAAAAGAAAAAAACAAAAAAAAACCAAAAAATGGAGATGGATGAGAGCTTATAGAACATGTGCCACTAGAAAAAACACCTGAAAAATCTGGAGTGATCTTTTAAGACACAGGTTGCCTTATACCCCATAGTGAGAAGGTGCAATCAATATCCTCATATCCTTCCAGACCTTTGTTACTCATTTGAGATCAACTGTAGATGAGATGAGAAGTTGCACCCAGGAAAATTCACATTTTGTGATATGTTAAAGCCTATTTCCTTTTCATTCGGATTGGGTCCGTGTGTGTGTGTGTGTGTGTGTGTGTGTGTGGGAAAGAAGTGAAGAAGAGAGAGAAAGATTGATGTCTCGGCAGTCTTACCATATTGAAATCCTCCAGCGCCAGCCTCCTGGCCAGTTAGGACCACAGAACACACCACTGAGCCTGACCTGTTTTAGGGTGACCCTGGGAACCAGACACAGGCTTCCATGTGGTCTCAGCTTCCCAGCAACAGCATCTTAGCAAGTCAAAGCCAGCCAAATGGCACTGTGGCTTAGCCAAGCTTATTTCCTTTTAATGATTTTACATAGTTTTCAAGAAATTCTCTGTTGTCTAGGGGGGTATGTATAACCTTGTCCCTCAACTCCTTCCATGATTTTTTCAAAGTCTCTTTTTTTAGCCCTGAAGTCGCCTGTACTGTCCTATAGCCTCCCAAATCGCACAACCTTCTAGTGCTGATTTTTACCTTCGAAGCACTGACCTCATTTTGACATTTTGTCTATCTATTGTGTTCCCCCATCTCTTAAGCTGTAAGACCATCTATGTCTTATAACCATTAAATTAATTAAACATAAACTCAGTATCTAAAGTTGAGGATCTCTGTGAGAAATTCTTCTTCATTTTAGTAGTGATAAAAGGGATGTGTTTAGGGGTCAGTAAGTGGCATAGTGGTTAAGGTGCTGGACTCCCACATGGCCAACTGCAGTTTAAGTCCCAGACCTGGTGGCCTGCTTTTTTGCTTTCCTTCTCTCTCTCTCCATCTCTCTCTCTCTCTCTCTGGTGAGCTCAATGTCCTGTAACAAATTTAAAAACAATAATAATAAATAAAATTAAATAAATAATTATAAAAGGATGTGTTTAAGATAGATATTCATTGTGGAGAAAAAAACAACTATTAGGTTTTCTGCAGCTATGGCCTAGAGCAGATACTTTTACTTGAAAAAAGAAATTATTACTATAGAGGAAGACAGACTTTAAGGAATATCCTGTATTCTAACTACTAATTTATTCATAATACAAAAAAGGAGATTATAATGTAACAGGTTCTCCGAGATGTCAGATTAGTTTCTACCACTCTGAAACCCTTCTCTGATATTACCAAAGCTGGCTATATCTACTTTATAAATAAAAATTAATCTGTGAGTTTACAGACATCTATAGGAGATGTTTTCTAAGAGAAGTAAATAATCTTTTCGTAATATTTTTTGTTTAGGAAACACCATGGTTTAAAATAATATCAGAGATAAAGACGGGGATATAAAATATAAATTTCAACCTAATGTCATTGATTTATTTTCAGACTATTTTGTTCCTTTAAAAATCTGTGCATTTTAAACTTTAAAACAATGGAAATAAAAATGCAGAATCACACACCTGTGTCTGTTTAGGACCAATATCCATCCGTTCCAGAAGGTCATTTAGAAAAGCTGTAACACTTTCCCAGGGGTAAATACTGTTGGAACCATCTAAAACTATGACTATGTCCAGTTGAGTGCTGCATTCTGCAATAAAAATAAATTGTGCAAATTTAAAGTCTATGCTTTTAGGGGTATCTGAAGCATATTCATGGGTGCAAAAGCTCATTTAAAAGATGTTCTACAAAGTGAACATAGGGAACCAGCAGTTGGCGTAATGGCTATGTTGCTGGACTCCCACGTAGTCGACTGCGGTTCGCGTCCCAGACCTGGTGGCTTAAAACTCACACCAGGCACGTGTGCGTGCGTGCCCAAGATCCCGAGAGGAGAATAGAGGAGAAGGGACTGTGGTGTGACCATCCCCCCTGGGGGGGTGATTTCTCGCTTTCTGTCTCTCTGTCTCTGTCTGTCTGGCGAGCACACGTGCCCTATAGTGCAAAAACCCCTCAAAAAAAAAAAAAAAAAAAAAAAAGACGACAAATTGTATTT